CGTCGGCGGCCCGCCCGTCCGCCTCACCGTCGGCGCCCGCCCGACCGTCTCCCCTGTGGCGCTCGGCGCCTGTCCCTGGCCCGTCCCCCACATAGCCGAGTGCGACTCCTCCGTTCTCCACACGGCCGACAACAAAGACTGCACGACGCCACGACAACGTAGAAGCTTCTCCCTTAGCAGATGTGTTCTTCCTCTGCGCCACCTGTGGAACAGTTCGTGCACCCATGCCATGGCCACTGATTCGATGGTCTGCAGGTAAGAACTGCTTCCTTGAGTGACTTTCGGTCCGTCCTACAATGAGGTTCTTGTTTCCTACTACTGTGTCTTGTGCAGATCGACAATGTTGAGGTTGCAAAACTTGCAGATGTGATCTAAGATGCCCGACTGTACTACATGTACATGGAAGAAGAGATCTCAATGAACGAAGGTGGGGAAAAGGAATAACCACTAGTAGAAAAAGGGGCAAAGGTTCAGGCCGGGTCAGCCCATTAGTCCCGGTTCAGTCCAGAACCGGGACCCATGGTGACATTGGACCCGGTTCGTGAGCCCCGGGGGCCGGTCGGGCCACGTGGGCCATTGGTCCCGGTTTGTCTGGACCTTTTGGTCCCGATTGGTGGGACGAACCGGGACCAATGGGCCTCGCTCCTGGCCCACCATCATTGGTCCCGATTGGTGGCTTGAACCGGGACCAAAGGCTGTCGTTTAGTCCCGGTTCATGCCACCAACCGGGACCAATGTGGTGCCTATATATACCCCCTCGCTTAAGAGCAGAGCACACTGCTCTGTTTTTTCTGGCCGCAGAGGGGGAGAGGGCTTGGTGGTGCTCTAGCTCACCTCCTATACACACTAGTATAATGTCCGTGCGTTGCCACGGGCTCTTGAAATATTTTGCTGGAATTGTGTAAACATAATGCATGTAAAAAAAGATAGCACAGGTATAATCGAGTAATAATTTAAGTCCACTTCACTTACATTGTAAACTATTAATAAAAAGCAATTTGACAATGCATACATATAGTGCGATGATTGAACTGAAAATTTGTTACAAATTAATATCTATTTGATGCGTTTAACAAATTCTTGCACAATAACTGTCCACCATGACCGCTCCACCACCATCCTGAGGCTCGACATGAGTCAACTTTAATCGTGTCAAATATACATTGTTTGGATCCTCATGCACATTAAGCAACATTCTTAATTTTTTTCTGCCTATAAACCACTATTCTTCTTCGTCTTCGTTCTCCTGCTCTCTTCACTTACTATCTCTACATTCCCTATCCAAGCCAACCGCAACCATCAATGGCCCATCCGGCTCAAAATCCCCAAACCTTCTACACCCAGACTACGAATTTTGAGGGACCTTTTGCCAATATTTTCTCCTTTCAAGTCTGCAAACAACAATATTAATGTAAAGTAATTAGTGTAAAGTGGTTTATGCCCACTCATGGCCAGTACAACCACAAACTCTGCCGTCTCGCCTACATGATGTGCGTCCACTCCCACAATTTTCCCCCTTACTCTGGCGAGGCCTCCATTACTTCCGAATATTTTGTTCGGATTATTTGCCATCAAGGATAAATTAGCATATGTGATAAAAGTCCCTATGATTTGACACTATAGAGGTAGAGCAACATGAAAAATAAAAGATCATGCTTCTAATCTTTGGACTTTTGTAGTTTAAAAAAATGGCGATAATCTTATAACATTTTTTCCTAATTGAAAATGATTGATGCATTAAGGAACACCTATGGAATCCAAAAAAAAACTAAGAGCAAGCGACAGTGACATGGATGGCTACCTTATTGCTTTGGAAGTGGATGGCATGAGTCGTCCCCCATATGCATGAAACAGTCCCAGCCATGCACAGTTAGCCAAGAAACATTGGGTCAAAACAAGGGTGTTGGTACCTTGAGGAACGACGCCATCACGTTGATAAATGCCCAACCCAATTGCTCGTCGCCATCCTCGGCCACCACTTGGACACACTCCTCTAGACCCAGGCGTTTCCAACGACATCCTCCCTACTTCCCTTGGGCGATGGCTGACTACTGTAACTTCTCTGGAGCGAATCCTTCCAAAGCGCTGCCGACAACATCGTCCCTGTGGCGCTGCTCCTTCCTTTTCGTGCCTTTTGCTTCATTGACCTCCTTCCTATGAAGTTTTAGTAACAAGGTACATTTCAGTAATCAGTAAAAAAATGCAGATATTAGTACAAGAAAAATGAGCCGCTTGACAAAGTTTTAGTAGAAATCAGATTTTTCGTACAACAAGATATTTTAGTACGTACTAAAAAGAATAGTACAAGGGCAATCATCCGAACAATATCATCAAAAGTATGAAACTGAACCTTTAGTCGCAGCAGGTGACTACCCTTGTCATCTCAAGATTCAAGCCTCTCCTCTTATCTTGTTCTCCGAGCATGCACTAAAAACTGCAAAAAATATAGAACATGTACATGTGTGAACTGAAATAGTGAAACTCAAACAAACCTTCATCAATAGATCTTTTTTGAACTATATGGTCGATTATGTACATGGTCCTCATAATGAAAACTAAAATATTGGGTTAGCCTTTCCCATATCTTTTTTGAAGAAAATCATAAGCATCAGCACCTACTATGTGGAAGACAAATCTCCCAGCTTGTTTATGATTCAAAACTCATCTGCATTCAGGCCAATACGAATAGCATCTCAAGGATCTAGGTAAATACCTGGAACAAAACTCAATGAAGAACCATAACATCAGTCAAAACTAAACATGGAAATTTTGAACTCACTGGCTTTATGTCAGTCCATTAGAACGCCCCTGCATTGCTACGGGCTACAATGAATATAAATAAATCAAAAAAATAATTAAATTCTAAAGTGGAAGCTCATTTCTCCCTCCTACGTTCGAGTGTGAACGTACATCAAACGGACATCTAACAGGATCCCCAAAATTCAACCGTCTGGAGAATAGGGTATCTTCAAATCCATGCATATCCATATGTGAGGAAGAAATATGGTTATCCAGACTATCTGCCATGTTATCTCTAACACGTGCGGGCCGAACAAATTAAAAAAAAACACACCCACGACGCACCCTTCTCTTTCCCTGCCGAACCCTCACCTCCCCGCTCGTTTCCCACCATAGCGGGACAGTTTTCACTGGAGCCCTCTCCATTGAAACCAGATAACGCCCATCTCACCTTCGTCATGTCGCACTCTCTTCTTCACATTGTATTTCCCCACGGACCGCTGAGGAGTCCCCCGCCAACCGCCCCGCTCTCCGTTCTGTTCCCCTCCCCATGTGTTTCTGTCGATAGGGGGGGGGTTGTGCGCCACCCATGACACCCTCCGAGCCAAGAAGGTAGATCTGATATCTCCTTAGCCATTTTCATATTGTAACATATAGTTCCCCTCCCCATGTGTTTGTGTGGAACCAACGTCGGGGGTCAGCCGAGCGCCACCCTGGCGCTGGTTTTGGCAATGCTCCATGTGCCCAGAGATTCCGCGTGATCCACCGATGCAGTGAAGGCAGGAGCCTCCGCCATCATCGTCGACCGCCTAGGCTTAGCCCGTCAGCATCCTCCAGCGACGAAGGAGGTAACGGAGAGAGGACACAGTGACCCTGGAGGCCGGGGGGATTGGATCCACCCGAGTCACCGGCCACGGCGGCAACATGGGGCCGACCTACTTTCTTTTGTAGAAGCATATATTGAGAAAAAAAAGCCCAAACAATGAAAAGGAGAATAACAATGATAATTTTCTGAGAGACCCCACTTCTTGGTGTAAGATTTTCATCTAAGAAAAATAAATAGACAACAAAAAAGATGGAAGCTACCCCAAGTTATGAAAGCCCCCATATTCTTGTTAGTACTGTATATATGTCATTAGGGCCTCTCGTACTGCCTTCAAGATTAAAAAATAGATCTATACAAGAAAAGCAGATCCTTCAAAATTGCAATATCAACAAATATTACACCTATGCATTACTAAGGTCTAAGGAGTATTAAAATATGAGATTTATAGGAAACAAATTGGAAAACTATTGAGATATTTCAAAAGAGAAAACATATATACAAGGGAATATATTGCTTCAATTCTCACATTTTCAGGCCTGTCACCTCCATCGTAATTATATGTGTCTTTATCCCTCTAGGACTACAGGAGAAAAATGCATATGCACACGTTACTGGGTACCATGTTAACAAAAGAAAGTTCTTTCGATTAACAATAGCAGTACGATGAATGTTGTTCCACTTCTCTACAACGCAATGGTTGCCTGGCACTGAAAAGTCTATCTCATTCTTACCTGCTGAATGGTTTCCTTTAGCTGTCGCTATTCTTTACGGATATACTGTTGCTGGCCTAACTGTCTCTCGTGAAATCACGTTAGAGCATGTGTGACTGGACTATATATTCCCTCCATCCGAAAAAACTTGGGACAAGCTTTTTTGGATGGAGGGAGTATGTTGGGCTGGAATATATGTGTCTCGGCTGGACTGGACCTATCCGGCCGTTAGATACTTGTGGTGTGAGGAATGAAAGGAACAGTGTATACAGATGAGTAAATATGGTACTATATAAATGCAAATGTATCACTACTATTGTCTGTTGGTCTAGTGAGAAATGACGTAGCTCTTTTGCCACCAAATTATCCTGGAACATGCAAATACAGTACAAAAAGATGTTGGATTTGCCCGCCGAATAACAAATTCAGTTAGAATTTCATGTTGGCAGCAATCAAGATTTCTTATTTCCATTACGAAAGGACGAAGCAGAGTAGAGATAGCAGCAACTGGCCACCAAATTTTCGGACTACGATTGTTTGAGAGCACGTGGCAAAATCTTGAAGTTATTTTGGAGCTATCAAATACTGCAATCCATATGATCATATATTACATCATATAAGAATAAGATGCTACTGTAAATGATATACTTACTGAATTTAATTTATCAGGTAATCGTTCAGTCACTACAACATTATGTAGTTCTGCAAACATCTTGATTAATAGATTACGGGATACCTTTAGAAGACTTGATGTAACCAACGTGTGACTGATCCATCCTGTCAAGTTTGTTGGGAATTCCAATAGCATGTACTGCAGGTAATCATCCGAAACAAATTCTGGAATATAAGGAGGGACAACAAAGAGTTATAGGTTGAAGTGGTATATAGTTTCAAAGGATTACATGATAAACATAGTGTCAGTCTCCAACTCTGCAATAATGACCTCTTATGCAGGAACCTACAAGAAACTGAGGGAAATACATATACAAAATCAAGCTGTACATTTGACAGTACTTGGTAAGAATGGTAAGATACAGATAATTAAAGTACATAACTTGCAAAACAATTTGTTTGCTGCATTACGATTAGAAAACACATCAATCACTGCATTTCTAAGATTGTAAACCTGAACCTCCACAGTTAGTACTCCATGACAAAGAGCAAAAGCAATGCATCGATGCATAACCAAACCACACGGGGATGCCAACATTCACCTAGAAAACCTGCTGGAAGTACAAAATCCCTGACAGCCCGGGGAATCAAAGAATTCGCCTTTTCATCTTTGACAGTGTTCATCAAAGATTCATCATGATTCTCCCAATGAACATGCAGCTTAGAGTTGCCATCCAACAAATACATGATAGTCACATCAATCAGACAATGAGAAACTCTCGCAAATACAGACTTGATAACTCTTTGGAAATTCAGTCAGGCAAATTCAGAAGAGAAGATACCAATCTGTTGCGGCCACATTCCCAAGCAGATGTGGCGTCCATGGCTGCTGAGTCATGCGACCTTTGGCAAGTATGCAACCAATTTCAGAAGAGAAGATACCAATCTGTTGTGGCCATGTTCCCAAGCTGATGTGGCGTCCATGGCTACTGTGTCATATGAGTTTTGGCAAGTATGCAACCAATTAGAACTGAATCTTTCAGAGACGGTATGAATTAATTAGACTTATAACTAAATTTCTGAGATTAAACATACATAACTTCGGCCTTCAGTCCTAGCAGCTGAAACACATGAAGACGGCAATTGATTTGCAAAAAATAAAGGGGGTGATGGAGAGAACATGTAACTCACTCAAGAATTACACAACCAACACGACTCTATTACAGAGCATTATAAAAATTATTAACTTTAAAGTATGATCCATGAGATAAAAAATAAGATAGTGTTTTTTTATTCAATCGCCATATTTTGAACTGATACTTCGAAACAAACCTACTGTGACATTTTGCTAGCAATCAGGTCACTGAAGGTGGGGCGGTGTCGGACGAAAAATAAGCAGTTTGGATTATCCACATACCTCTGTTGGTTTACCATATCACATGATGCAGCCGATGTGCATAAAATCAGTAGCCGTGGGGAAGATTTGTGTTCTTTGCTCTTCTCCTTCATCATTCATATTGCTAGCATGGAGAAAAAGCATTGTTGCCCATCTCTTATTTGAAAAGATCGCAAAATCCAAAAAAAGGATGAAATGTAGAGACTGCGAGAGCAATAGGAATACCACCGATGGATCCCCTCAGTGGTCGTATGTTGATTGAATATTTTCCGCTGATGATCTGTACTCGAGGCAGGCCTCGAGGCGTTGGCATCCAGCACTCCTTTGTCTCGGTGCCCAGCGGCAACGGCGCCAAGGGGGACGGCTCGTCGGCGCCGCCACCGTCTCCTCACCAGCAAGATCGGCCTCCAGTCTCGTGTTGAGAGGAAGAAACGGGCGGGCAGGCAGGTACCTGCACTTGTCGGTGCGCGGCGGCAGCACCCGCTCGATCTGCGCCTGCATCTGCTCCTTACGGTGCTCGACGCCCTCGGCGGCCCTCCGCCTGGCGACGAGGAGCTTGTCCGCGCGCGCCCACCGCCGCTCGAGCCGCCG